AGGTCCTAAAAATGAGTAATTTGTAAACACGTTGATTTGCAAACAAAATAAATCTTCCTTTTAAAAATGAAAACCAGAAAAAACAAAATGTTGACAGCAAGATCGTAAGTCACAGAAACTCTATTATGAATCAAAACAACAGATGTAACACAAACAACAGCATCTTTTATAAATACAAGTTAGACTTTTCTATTTCATGCATTGGAAAAACTCATATGCCCCAAGTAAATTCCCCTGAATCCCTCAGTAGTGTCCTATGGTTAGTGTTGACACGCTGTTACCAAAAAAACCCATGGATGATTTATATTCCAGCAGTCACTAACCCCAAACCACATTTTTTTGTCAGACCTAACATTAATAACTAACTATATTACTTTTGCAGCAGAAGCAGCAAAGTGAAATTACCTGTACTTTGCTTCTTCGCAGTGAATCATTAGTGATTTCTTGATCTATATTCACTTTCCTTCTTTCCTTATTAGCAGCCCTACTGACTACATTATCACTCTAAGGACCAGAGAGGAACTAAATTATCACAGTGCTCTCTCCACAAAGCAGGCATCATACAGTGTTTGCTGTAATCAGTCTCTGGGCCCAAACACCTCAGATTTCAAACAGGAAATAACTTCGTCCTTCCCATTTCACACTCCGAAGAACCAGTGATCCTGGGACTTTAGGGACTTCTCCAGGTCAGAAATCCTCTGGATTTGCACTTATCTGTTACTGCAACAGATAAGCTACAATTGATGCGTCGGTCAAAGTACCTTGTAGAAGGAGACAGAGTGCCTTCCCTTGCTCACTGACAACAGGCAAAGTAGAACAGCCAGGTCATGTTTATATTTCCATGCCTGATCACATGAGGGAGAAGAGAAGTTCAGCTACTGCTTCATTCCTTTCATGGTATGTCCTGTTACTGGCGACTCACTCGTTTTGTGTAACCCAGGCCCATGAAGAAACAAAACTCTATTGAACAGCATTTACAGAGCTGCTTCTATTTCCCTTTATCAAGGTAGACACCTGATTATTTATAGGTAGCTTTCAAAGACTATTACTAAGACTTTGCATAATGAGCAAATAAATTTTGCACTGGCTCTAGCCTAACAAGAATGCAGGGCTTGACTTTTCTCTCGCCAGTTTTGCACTGGTGTAATTACACTTACTTCAGTGGTGAAACCTCTGATACCACAGTGACAGCATGTCACAACATGACATTCATGAACCAGAAAGTATTCCTAACTATCTCTAAATACATCATGAAGGCAATGCTTTTTTTAAACATTTTGTTCCTATTTTCAGCAGGTACGTCAAAACCTAACAACTTACTCTTGTCTGACATGATTCTACAATGTTATTTCTGCCTAGTCATGTGCACTAACTGTGCCATTCTCTGCCCTTCCCATCCTGTTCCAGCTTGAAACTAACCTGGCACTGACTCCTTTGTATCTAATCCACACTCAGGGTGGAGTAGGCTTCTCAGATGATGGAAGTCAATAGAGAGTCTGTGGGTCAGGGTTAAACGGAGAACAGCGATGGGAGACATTACTATGGGGATCTGTTACAGCCCGCCTGATCAAGAGGACTCTGAATGAAGCACTATGTAGACAGAAACAGCCTCATGCTCGCTGTTCCCTTGGAGGACTTCCTCCCATGGGGGACTTCAACCACCCTGATATCTGTTGGAGGGACCGTACAGCCCGGCACAAGCAATCCAGGAGGTTCCTTGGTTGTGTGGAAAACAACTTCCTTCTGCAAGTAATAGAGGCGCCGACAAGGAGAGGTGCCATGCTTGACCTTGTGCTCACCAACAGGGAACAGCTTGTTGGAAATGTGATGCTCCAGGGCACCCTTGGATGCAGTGATCACGAGATGTCGAATTTGAGATCCTGAGGACAGTGAGAAGAGCGTGCAGCAAGCTCACTGCCCTGGACTTCAAAAGAGCAGACTTTGGCCTCTTCAGGAACCTGCTTAGTAAGGTTCCATGGGATATAGCCCCAGAGGGCAGGGGGGGCCAAGACTTTTGGTTGATATTCAAGGATCACCTGCTACAAGCTCAGGAGTGTTGCATCCCAACTAGAAGGAAGTGCAGCAGGAGGGCCAGGAGACCTCCATGGATGGATAAGGAGCTGCTGAGGAAACTTCAAAGGAGAAAAGAGGTTTATAAAAGGTGGAAGTAAGGACAGGCGGCCTGGGAAGAGTACAGGGATGTTGTCCGGCAAGCTAGGGACCACGTTAGGAAAGCTAAGGCCCGGTTAGAATTAAGCTTGGCTAGTGATGTTAAAGATAACAGGAAGGGATTCTATAGGTACACTGCAAACAAAAGACAGACTAGGGACAACGTGGGTCCTCTCTGGGAGCTATCAGGAGAACTGGCTACCCTGGATCTGGATAAGGCTGAGGTTCTGAATGACTTCTTTGCCTTGGTCTTCACTGGCAAATGCTCTGACCACACCACCCAAGTCTTGGAAGGCAGATGCAGGGATTGTGAGAATGAAGACCTTGGGCCCGCTGTAGGAGAGGATCTGGTTCGAGACCATCTTAAGAACCTGAATGCGCACAGGACCCGATGAAATCCATCCGCGGATCCTAAAGGAGCTGGCAAATGAAGTTGCTAAGCCACTGTCCATCATATTTGAAAAAGCATGTCAGTCAGGTGAAGTTCCTGACAACTGGAAAAAGGGAAATATAACCCCCATTTTCAAGAAGGGGAAAATGGATGACCCGGGGAACTACAGATCAGTCAGTCCCACCTCTGTGCCTGGCAAAGTCTTGGAGCAGATTCTCCTAGAAGGCATGTTAAGGCACATGACAAACAACAAGGTGCTTGGTGACAGCCAGCATGGCTTCAATAAGGGGAAATCCTGCCTGACCAATTTGGTGGCATTCTATGAGGGGGCTACAGAACTGATGGACAGCGGTAGAGCAGTTGGTGTCATCTACCTGGACTTGTGCAAAGTGTTCAAACTGTCTCACACGACAATCTTGTCTCTAAATTGGAGAGACTTCAATTTGTTGGATGGACCACTGGGTGGATAAAGGGCTGGCTGGATGGTGGCACACAAAGAGTTGTGGTCAATGGCTCAATGTCCAGCTGGAGACCAGTAATGAGTGGTGTCCCTCAGGGATCGGTGTTGGGACCGGTCATGTTTAACATGTTTGTCGGTGACATGGACAGTGGGATTGAGTGCGCCCTCAGCAAGTCTGCTGATGACACCAAGCTGTGTGGTTCGGTTGACACACTGGAGGGAAGGAATGCCATCCAGAGGGACCTTGACACGCTTGTGAGGTGGGCTGATGCCAACCTCATGAAGTTTAACCACGCCAAGTGCAAGGTCCTACACCTGGGTCGGAGCAATCCAGGCACAGTTATAGGTTGTGCGAAGAAGAGATTCAGAGCAGCCCTGTGGAGAAGGACTTGGGGGTGCTGGTTGATGAGAAAATGAACATGAGCCGCCTTCAGTGTGTGCTCACAGCCCAGAAAGCCAACCGTATCCTGGGCTGCATCAAAAGGAGTGTGACCAGCAGGTGGAAGGAGGTGATCCTGCCCCCCTACTCTGCCCTCGTGAGACCACACTTGGAGAATTGTGTGCAGTTCTGGTGTCCTCAGCATAAAAAGGACATGGAAATGTTGGAACAAGTCCAGAGGAGGGCCATGAGGATGATCAGGGGACTGGAGCACCTCCCATATGAAGATAGGCTGAGAAATTTGGGGCTGTTCAGCCTGGAGAAGAGAAGGCTGCATGGAGACCTCATAGCAGCCTTCCAGTGTCTGAAGGGGGCCTATAGGGATGCTGGAGAGGGACTCTTCCTTAGGGACTGCAGTGATAGGACAAGGGGTAATGGGTTAAAACTTAATCAGGGGAAGTTTAGGTTGGATATAAGGAGGAAATTCTTTCCTGTTAGGGTGGTGAGGCACTGGAATGGGTTGCCCAGGGAGGTTGTGAATGCTCCATCCCTGGCGGTGTTCAAGGCCGGGTTGGACAGAGCCTTGGGTGACATGGTCTAATGTGGGAGGTGTCCCTGCCCATAGCAGGGGAGTTGGAACTAGATGATCTTAAGGTCCTTTCCAACCCTAACTGTTCTATGATTCCATGATTCTAAGTAGCAATGAGATGCAGTGGAATAGTTTTTTTACCTTGGTTTCTCTTTTGTTGATGGACAAAGAACTTCTAAAATACTAATGCTGTTTTGGACTACAAAACTTTTACATGTTTAAAATCCATGCAAATAATTATGTATTGATAAAGAGGCAATTCCGGAACATAATTTTAATTGAATACATCATCCTTCCTCTTCTCTCTCTGCTTATGCATGCTCATCTCTCTAGCCTTTCCTAGGAGGCTTTTAAAGAGTAAAGTTACAGAGCTCAAATGCTTAAAGTATCATTTCTCCAAAGGCACATGGTCAGAACTTAAGTTTAAAATGCTTATGCACTTAATTAGTCATAGAATATATAACATCACATGACTTAGATAACAAATCATGACACACAGAGCAAACGATATAAACCACACATCATTTGAATTCTCACAGAACACTTCCATTATCTCTCCATAAACAGATTCTGCCAGGCAAAGGTGGGCTCACAAATTAGACTCTTGGGGTTTTTTTCAGTTTAAATGTTGCAAATGCTCCATTCCAGTAAATTACTCTAAATGACTTCGGTGTAAGATAAGCCTTTGTCCCATTCAGATCATAGCAAATTAGAGGATCTGCACATAAGACTCTTTGCCTGAGGCTACTCCACTGCACCACACAGATTTTCGCGCTTCATCAGGACACTGGCATTCCTACTACTATAAACACTGAAACAAGACATTTCCAAAAATCTTCTAAACCCACCTCAGAAAATTGAAATCTAGTAGGTCTTTTCTAACTTTCCGTCCTATTAAATTACATGCATTACGTACAATTAAAACCTGTAGTACAAATGACTTAAAAAAAACCCCAAATCCACTGAAAAGAACATCCTCATTATAGAAGAGGTAAAAGAAATGAAGTATTACCTTGGCAGGTTCGTTCATCTGTGAGCAGTTTATAGCCTTTTTGGCAGCTGCACTCAAAGCTGCCAACTGTGTTTCGGCAGAAATGGTCACAGCCACCATTGTTTACCAGGCACTCATCAATATCTGCAAAGAATGAATGAGCAAAAATTGAGTTCATGACAGCAATTCAGTAGTTCAGGGCAGGAGTACAGAAATTTACTCAGATCCCCAAGAAGGCTGTTGGCCCTCTTAGGATTGAGGATGGCCAGAGGCCATCCAAGTCTTCCCAAAACTTTCTTGCAAGGTTTACCAAACAGCTATGGGCTGAATTGTTCTGGAGGCAGAGAGATTTCTCTCACAACTGGAACTGACAGATGACCCAAGTTGGCACTTTGATGTTAAAGAACATTTAAAGAAGCTTCTTTGTAGATGTAGCGGTCTGCTTAACAGAGGACTTCAGCCTGTGTAAGATGTGAATCTCTTGCCTTGTACAGGAACTATCAAAACCCAAGACACATGAAAAACTGAAATAACAACAAAGTAAAACATACATGAATTCTGGAAATACTTCCATTATCCCTATATAAACAAATGTAGGAGTATAGTTGTTTTTTTAATTAGCATTATATGCTGGTTTTTCCATTAGGAATACAAAGTCACTAAATACCCATTTTCATGTGTCTTGCTTTCTTGATTTGATATAATAGAAGAGCAACTGCAAGTGCATGTGAAATGTTGCTTTTTCAGTTGTTCTGAAGCCATATATATATATATATGTATATATATATGCATGAAGGATGAGATCAACGGCTCTTACTTTACATAATCATTATGAACAGCACTGATGAACTTGATAAGACCTCTGTTCTGAATTTCAGACTGCTGAATCTGCTTCCTCCACCTTATAACTCTTCCAAAGATGTTGAAGAACTGGAATGATCAGTCCCTTTTCCGATAAAGAAAAGCTTGCACAATAAGTATATAACAGGTCACAGAACCTCATTTAAAATATAGGGCATCTTTCCATCCTCCCTCACTTGTAAAATTATGGATCCACATTCATTTGAAAGAGAAAAAAAATGTGGTTGGCTTCTTTTATTTTTTCTTGTATGTGTGTGTTTTTTTTTCTGTTTTTTTTTTTTTTATATTACTAGTACAGTGCAAAAATAGCTCTTTTTAAGGTGTGCATACAGTGAAGAAGTAACATCATATAAAGCCTTGGCTGACCACTTCTGAAGTGAAAACAAGATCTTTCAGAAAACCAAGTGGAGAGTGTATTTCCTATTGAAAAGCCTCTTGCTGTAAGGGCTTTGAAACTTTGAGGTAACAGCTGGCCATATAAAAAGCAAAGCTTACAAAATGCAAACCTAGGTGCCAAAAGAGCTAATATGAAGAGATGGAAATTTATCAAACACAGCATGATGGTGGTGAATGAAGGGTGCATTTAAAAACGATTTGAATTTAGGATTACTTTTAGTGGATGTCATTCATTCATTTTTGAAAACATATTATTACTGACATGGGAGAGTAGTATGGCTCTTACCATGTTTCTGCATGTAAAATATAAACAGAAGCAGGAGGAGCAAGGAGGTAAATCTAGACATGCAATAGCTAAAAGGCAAATTCAGCCATCTTTTCTAAAAGGCACTTTGCTTCACTGACATTGACAGAAATATCCTCAGGAGACCATACTACTGAAATAAGCAAGAACAATGCATATTGTTACAAAGGTTTGCTTATGAGTTGCATATGTGCAAAGAGAAAGCAAATTTGCTCTGACACTCTCTGAACTAATACTACTCCTTATTACTTTTGTGTCTAGCTCTGCAGAGGAGTGGCTTTTGCACTCAGTCCTATTAAAAGCATGAGGGTAAAATGGTAGGTAGCAGCTGGGGTGGTATTATGCCTTGAGTGCTTTGCACAAAGACAGCTGAAATCTTCATGTCTCGGGTAACAAAGTTCTCAAAGTGATCTGAAACCAGCACTCGTGTTTGTTGTCTGGTCCTCAGTTTTGGTGATCAAGCTAGTCAAGAACAGATAACCTTAGCCTCTCAATCTCATAAATCTGATGAAGAGCACACTGAGGGTTGCTATACATTATACCATGAGACTTGAGGGAGCAACCTGTTTGGTTTCAGCTGTGACCACCAGCACAGATCTTGACCTGTCAGTGGCTTCAGTCACAAGCTTTGTCCAGTCCTGCAGGCTGACATTTCCTTTGGTAGAAGTGATTCCTCCCAGCCACAGTACTTGCAACCAGCACTGTGCTGCAGGTCTTGATGGATTACAACAGTCCCATGCTTTTGCACAGTGCAGGTGTGTACCTGACAAAACTGCTGGACAAATGGAATTGTCAATTAAAATTACTAATATATTATGCATCATAAACATGCAGAGCAGTCATCCATCATCAAGAAGATATCTTTTACCCATGATAAAACCAACATGACCTTTGGGCTACTCTGCTGCCTGAGACTGCTTGAAGCAGAAATTACTTGCAGCCTGTCAAACACCATTCTGAAGTAAGGACTGATGTTTTAAATGATGGCTCCTGGATTTCACACATTAAATTCAAAATTCCAGTCTAACTTTCTTTTCAGGGTGTTTGAAGACCATAAGGGACAAAAATGAAACCCTCCTGGCTTCAGAGGGTAGATTTGAAGCTGTTTATCATTGTTATTCGACTGACAAGGCAGCGCATCAGTTCTACACCAGCAGTTCTTTGGAATATTTTGAACCAGGAATATTCTGAACTGGGTAAAAGATGGGTGAGTCCACAGGAAAAGAAAGCATTCATTTCTTCTAGCTGAAAAACATGATGTGGCCTTTTGAAACCAGGACCATCAAAACAGAATAGAGGTCAAAACTGTTAGCTGCAAAAACATTATAAATAACACAAACAGTGCCAACGTCTCTCCTTTCACTGTATTTCTTTCCACGGCCATAGCGAGACTGACAAGGCATGTAAAAATTATTTCACTCTATGGAGAGCAGTGCATTGCTGCATTTCACTTGGAAGAGAGCAGTATCCAACTGTATCATGTCTAACTGGTTCACAGAAATTGCACCTATATCCCCACTATTTTTCTTTCCACAGCTATAAATAATTCTTGTTATGAGTCATGTGAAAATAAATGATTCCACTGTGTGAGGTGAGGCCTCATTTATCTTTAAACTGACTGGTACCCAACTTTGTCAAGTGCCTGTTTGAACTTCACAGAGAGTATGTATGTCTGCCTATCATATGGGGAAGAAAAACACAATGGAAACCATCATGGTATCTCTTCCAGCTTTGAATGATTTAGTCAAATATCGCTGTACTATTATTGGAACTGTCTGTGGAGGAGACGTAAACTTGGTGTCTTAAAACATAGTTCTCAAGTGGCTCCTTTTCAACTGATGATGCAAGCTGCAGAAGAATGGCTCAAACTTTCCACGCTGCTCTGCTCCCCTGTATCCCCAGGAATGCAAAAGTATATAAAGAACTGTATGTCCCCATGGGCGATTGCACATAAAATGCCCTGGTCATAAGTGTTCAGACAACGTGCAGGTCATTTCAGACTAAGAGGTCTGATAGGCTTTCAGTGCATTAGCAATGAAATCCCAAAAGATTTCTCTTAATGCAATAATCAAGATTGTTAAATGATAACTTGCTCATACAAGCTGCCTATCTGGCACAAATACCAACTGATGTGCCCAGCACAAATGGGACACATGCAGAAATGGAAAATACAGGCCAATGAAAAATCACAGAAGCATTAAAGTGTACTAGTCAAAATAGCAGGTGAGGGCAACTAAGCACTCAAGCCTCCTGTTAGCCCTGAAAATGGTTTACTCCTCGACATATAGTTGAAAAAAAAAAAGCAAAAGCAAACATAGGATTTGCACAAAAGTACCTAAACTTTCTTACATTTTTTATATTTTGTGGAACAAAACAATTGTAAATATTAGTCTGGAGATGGAACTCGGCAACACCATCACAAAAGCTGTGGGCCCGTCTGAACACCAGAAACAAACCCTGACTTGCTGTTCACAGAGTGGAGAGGTTCCACTCCAGCTTCTGTGACTCACTGTCATCTCTATATGCATTGTTAAATGTAAGTCCATAACTACTCTGGATCTACTTATGTGACCCCAGAGCCTTGTGGAATTTGCTAGTAAGTACAGTTTTGGCACAGAGATCCAAGTACTCTTTTTAAATATCCTTTCTTTGTAGTTACTTTGCAAAGCTCTCCATATTCTGACACTCAAAAGCTAATTTTTGAAGAATGGAATGGGCAATATTTTAAAAGAATGAAAGAGGAATAAATAAAATGTTTCTGAAATAAGTTATGCTGAGTTTTCTGAGCGTTTCAAAATATGAGGGAGGCAGTGGAATCAGTGTAAAATACAACCTCTCAGCTTTAAATAAAGGAACAGAAACTCAGTTGCTTTATGATATGTTGTATAGCCACAATCTCACTAAAAGAAACAGGCAGTCCATTATTTTTCTTTTCACGTCCTTGTGAATATTAATGGGAATGACTGTTCCTGTTCTACTTGTACATAATTTAAGCTCTGCTCAGAGTAATTCACATTTGGAAGGACCTGGCTCTTATCAGGGGTGTCTGACCACATATGTGTGCATGTATGCATATAAACTCACAGAGATTTGCCTTGCTGCATACAAGTCAGAAAACAAATTAAAAAGTAGGGATTTTAGGCAACTTAGAACTTAACATTTCACATAAGCTGCTTAAAGGCAGCTGCAAGGGTAATAAACCTGCAATCTTCACTTAGCTGTTGAACAATGATGGATATGCAGAATTCCAAAGCCTTATCACAGGCGGAAGTGAGGCTTCTCCTTTCAATGGCTGGACAAATATTTGAACTGATTGTGTCTGTCTAATCCTTTTCAGTTTTAAAATGCTACCTAGCTCCAGGAAAATAATATACTCCCAGATCAACCTGAAATAATTACAGGAACTTCACATCCTTCTTGTTTGTATTAATGACAGCATGTTAGTATTAATAATGCTATTACCAGCACAGGCTGGACATCGTATTTTCTACAAAGTGGGGTAGTCTGCTAGCTCTTATTCCCTTCTTTCACAGTTTTCCTTTTCTTTCCTTCTCTTTTCTCATACTTCTGCAAATCACTACTG